CATCCATCCCTCCATCCCTCCATCCCCGGGGTATTCATTAGTTAAAACCACAGGCCACCTCCCTCCCTCAGTCCTCACACTCCTCCTCCCCCCGTCTCGCCCCTTGGCTGCTCATCACATAATTACAGGCTCCTCCACAGATACCTCCACTGTGAGTCTGAGCACATGTTAGAAGCAGCAGCAGCAGCAGCAGCAGCAGCAGCAGCAGCAGCATCACTGTCACTGTTATTGATCGGAGCTGTGACAGACCCAGAGAAAAATGACAGTGGAGTCAGTACTCCAGGGATGACAGTTAGGGGGCAGTGGTGAGGATGTGAAATCAAACTGCTCTGTTGAAATCCTGTGATGTGCACTACAGTGACTGACTAATATACACGTGAAGGAAATGAAAAGATAATCAGTAGGAAAAACAAATGACAAGTGAACAAAGTGATGTGAAGGTGTCAGTGGAGTGAAGCCAGGCCACGTCATCTGTAATGGGACGTTTGACTTTGTTTTTGATCTGTTGAATGACAGCAGTGACTTTTCTCTTTTTTCTTCCTCAGGCTCTGACGGTCCAGTTCCCCTCTGTCCTGGTTCCCTCCAGTTTCCAAATATGGATCAGGATTGTGTAAAATGTCAAATGTGACGCATCATTTTCGCAGCGTGTCAGAGGCAGAGAGAAGCAGAAGTCTCCAGAACAGACTGTGTCTGAGCCAGGCGTCCTCCTGGTCGCCCCCAAACATCAGATTTTGTGATGAACAGAAAAAAAACGGATTGTTTTCTCAGATGTTCTGTGGCCCCGTCCTTCCCCACGGGGACTGTGACACAGGCATTCTGGGATAGGCTGTGGCCACGCTTGGCAGGCCTCGAAGGCGTCAGTGCTGTTTCTCCAGGGACGTCCTGGCACTGAGTCCTTACCCGCAACTCTGCAGCCGCTGCTTAATTAAAACCATACCGATCCTGCTCCACTGCTGCTGCTGCGGCTGCTGCTGCTGCTGCTGCTGCTGCTGCTGCTGCTCCAGAACGCCTCTCATCACACTCTCATTAACACCTCAACTCAACTTAAACACTGTTTCTAAATCATTCCCACTCCAGAGAATTTGTTTTAATCCACTCTGAGCGCCACCCGGGTGGAGTTTTGTCAGATAACTTGTCAATCAAAAACCAGAATCGTGTTTCAAACAGTCATTTGTGGCTTTTTTGAGAAACTTTCTGGCGCTGGCTGTGTTGTCATTTGGTAAAAAAAAAAAAAAAAAAACCCACATACTTGGCTTTAAAGTAGTTTAAATCCAACAACAGTTAAAAGTGAACTGAATCCACTCAGGCAGTTGTGGCCGTGGTCTGACTCCCAGTCTACACACCACTGAACTTTTCACTCTCAGAACCAGGAACCAGGGAGTCCAGAGGTAACAGTTCTGAGCCCAGTCAGAAATCTTGGACGAGAACCGACCTTCTGCAGTGACTTACACTCAAACACTGAAGACTTCAGTGTTGATCAAGTCTTCACAAAAACTTAGACTAACAGAGTTTGAGATTTGGATTTCTAAAACAGAAAAGGCTAAAAAAAAAGGTCTTTTGCCGAAAGACTTTGCTTAAATCCAACTTATAGCCAAACAAAGACCAGAACTACATATCATTTAGTGGCTAAACATTAGCCAGGATGTGACTAAATGTTAGCCCAGACCAGCTAACACCGAGACTGAAGTCAGTGTGGTGGAGATGCACACACTGGATTTTGATTTAACTGTTGGTCTTCTGAGGAGAAACAAGAGTAAAAGCCAATCATCTGGAGCCAGAACCAAACCACACACACACACACACACACACACACACACACACACACACACACACACACACACACACACTGGTTTGTTGAGTTTCTCTGTGGTTTCTCTGTTTTCATTTGTCATGTTGCAGGACGACCTTGAAGAGCAGCTCATTCCTCTGATTTAGATAGAAAAAAACAACATGATTTTTCTTTTTTTTTGTTTTTGTTTCTTTCTGAAAAGCTAACAAGGCAGAGACTGATGATGTTTGACATTTCAGCAGATGAGAAGAACAACTAAACAGATCTCCTGCAGCAGAGCTGTTGGATTGATCAGGGAATTAATTTTTTTTCCATCAGGAAAAACGTGTTTCTGGGACGGTTTAATGAAATGTTAGCCATTTTTGCTAGCTCTGGCTAACTTTGATTTACCTAGTATTTCTTTGTAAAAAAAAACATTCTGACGACAGTTTTCCCACATTAACTTTTCATTATATTTCCAACCTTTTCTTCTTCTTCTCAATTTCTCCTGGGTCGTTATGTCAGTAATTCCAGACTTCTTAGACTTAGCTTTAAAGAAAAACATGTCCTGAATGAAGAAGATTCATAAGATTAGCCAAATGTTGGCTAAATGTTAGCCTAGCAGCCATTTTAAACAAGTCAACTTTAAAAGAAATGCTTCCCTAGAAATGCAAACTCTCTCACCATCACACTCTGCCTCCATCACCAACTGGTCGTCCATCACTGTCACTCTCCATCGCTCAAATCTGTCTAAAGGATTTCAAAAAAATGTTGTTCCAAATCTGGTGAAAATGTACAGAATGTCTTCAAAATGTTTTTCTGTAAAAGCTGTATTTGCCTGTTTACAGTTGAATTACTTCATCGTTTTTGCAGTAAATTTTCCATCAAGAGAACAAGTCTCACAAATATATATATATATGAAAGAGTAAAAAGATAAAAATCAGGAAAAAACATTTCATTTATTGTTTGTCATCTTTTCCTCAGTACCTGAAGATATTTGTGTACAAAAATATTTCCAAAGAGGTCAGTTCTTTGAAACTCCTCTGACTATGGACTCATCAAACCTGAGCAGGTTCATGTTTGAGGATCCAATAACAAAACTCAATAGAACAACATTAGGGTAAAAGCAGATGTTCATGGATTTTTAAGCGGAACTTCCTGTCAGGGTTCTGATCAAACTCCACTCTGTCTCCTGTGATGTGTCTCTGCTTATAAATTACCTGCAGCCGCTTTAATCCTCGCAGTCACAGATGGACTGGACCAGGACCAGACCCCAGATAAGACCCAGAGACTCCCAGTCTCAGAGAAGTGTCTCCATCTGTTCAGACTTCAGGTTCAGGTCAACTGGAAAGGAAGTAGATCACAATCAGATACATACATACATACATACATATATATATATATTTGTATGTATATATTCCACAATTCATGTATTTATTTGTCTGCTATTGCTTCAAAAATCCTCCTTAAAAACAAACAAATGCCTGAATTAAACGACAGATTGATTGATGGATTGACCGTCACATCTGTTCTTCATTGGACGGTCAGTTATATGAGTGATGACATCATCTCTGTGCTTTCACTGCTCCCTATAATCTGAGGTTTGGTGAAGAGTGAGAGAAGATCAGAGGCTGGAGAATGTCAGGAGATGGTTCTGTTTGAAGCTCTGCTGAGGAAATCCTCACTCTGTGTGTGTGTGTGGGTGTGTGTGTGTGTGTGTACATATGGAGAACATATGGCTGAATTCATCCTTGTCCTCACTTTCTCACTTTTCAGTGATTTCTGGGGTTTGTGTGTGTGTGTGTGTGTGTGTTCTCCACTCCAACAATGATGCTCCTCATGAGGACCAGTGGTTTTGTCACACAAGGTCTTACTTTGATTCCTCCTCCTCTTACTCCTCTTATTACTCCTTCTACTGCAGAGGCAGCGGTGGATTAGTGGCTAAGAACGCAGCCTTGGGTCTGGAAGGTTTCAGGTTTGAATCCACCATCTGCCAAGTTACCACTGAGGTGCTCTGAGCATGCCAGGTGATGGGTTAAAAGCAGAGGTCACATTTGGTGGTGTGCTGTGTCACAATGACAAGGAGTTCACTTTCCTCCTCCTCCTCTTCTTCTTCTTCTTCCAGGGACAAAGTTGAAAGTTGGTGTGTTTAGGAAAGAACATTCCTAAAGCCTCCATTTTCTCTAGCAGGTTCTGTTATGAGTAGTACTGTCAGTAGTGTCTGTCACAGTGGGTCAGACACCCACTGTAGTGTCCTGCAGTGTTTCTGGTTCCCAGTCTCTTCTCTGTCCTTAAATCGAGGCCTGTGTAGAAACTGACCCTCGACTAGTTTGAACTTCCCACCACAGCCGATCCGTGTTTGTGTTCCATGGCGTGTTCTGTCCCACCACCGAACGATCCTGAAATTCTCTGTCTAATTTCAAAAAGCCATCATTTATGTAAAAATATTGCCCTTGGAAATGTTGTGTGAGTAATTGTGAGACAATTACAGCTGTCTGGTTTGTCTGGAAGTGGAACTGTTCCACAGCCAAGAATCCTTTTACTGGAGAACATCAGGACCACCAGCACCACCAGTCTCCACTGTAAACTACAATTACCCAGCATTCCAGGTCAGCCTGCGGTTGTCCGACACATTTTAACTGCTCCAATTAACGTCCCCCCCCAGGACCTCAGGCCCTCAGCGCTGCTCCATGTTTTCCACAAATATTCCCTGTATTTACAGGCTCAGCGTCCGCTGTGGCTCCGCGGCTCCGACATTCCTGGAGATGTCACTCGGACATTTCAGCGAATAGCTCCGTGATGATGAACAACATGGGAAGTTCTGCACATAACTTACATGAAAGATGGTTTTTGGCTTGATTACACGCTTCTTTTCTGCCAGTGTCACAGCAACAAACTGCTTGTTGTGACAAAAGGGTTTGGACTCAAACAGGCGTCTTCTAGAAACCGTCTCTGTGTCCGAAACAAACCTCTCCCTCTGTGAGGTCGCTCAAGATCCTCCTCTGGAACTTTCCAGGAACGTCTGTCTTCTCTGAGTTCATGTGTGAAAATATTGTAGGATCAAACCAGGTGAGGCTGATGGACGTCAGTTACTGTGATCAGCCACACCTGGGCCTCAGTGGTGATCAGATCAGACGGCCCAGGTGTGGAGGGACGCAGAGGACACACACGCTGGTCTGCTGGAAATAAGAAGAAAAATACACAAAAATAGACCTACAAATAAAATAATACAAATAACAATAACATATTGAAATAATAATAGAAATACATAAAAAAACATTATAACATTTATTTAAAAAAGAGTCAAACTGAATATCAGAAATATCTGGAAGTCAGTAGAATTCAGATTAGAAATATGTATTTTATATATTTCTATAGCCTATACATCTACGGTATATATTCTGTTACTTTAGAACGTAATAGAAATTGTCAGATATTTTATTACTTGTGTTTTTGTTGTTGTTTTGTGTGTTAAATGTTTAGACACGTGTGAATAAACTGATGTCAGTTCAATTTGTTTCCTCACTGTTGTCCAGTTTTAGATGTTTTTGTATGAAAAATACTTTCATTCATTTCAATATATATTTATCATCAATCGTTTTACATTGTTTGTCCCTGGTCTCTGGTCTAGATAGTTCTCCACAAATTCTAAAACTGGTCTAGATAGTTCTCCACAAATTCTTCTTACTTCTTATCTTATCCTTACAAGTGAATGTCCACGTATCGATGCTCTAACGACCTCTGCTCCGTCTCTGTGCCTCTGTTTGAGCCACACGTGTCTGTCCAGGACATCACATGAGGGGACTTGATCCACTTCTTCTGGAGCAGGATTTAGTCTGAGGACAGGGTCTTAGTCGGTCTCTGATCCTCCGGGTCTGACGCAGAACAATCCGACATCAGGAATGTTGAAAGATCCAGGGTCAGGGCGACTTCTGACCTTACACCTTCCTCTATCTATGACCTTAGACCTGATTTAGTGACAGAACCTACAACCCTGGTCCTGTCACCTCCCAGATCAGTGGTTCTGGTTTGTCTGGAATGTCCTCTCATCAGTCAGGACAGAAGACAAAAACACACACTTCAGCTTGGACACAAAGTTGAACTGAAATCACTCTGACGCTTTTACTCTTGTTATTGATTTATTTTAGTAAATAATCAACACATTTTCATCCAATTGAATGTGCAGGATTATTGAGGAAACAGCTGAAGTGATGAGGCCGAGCAGAGAAACAAGCTGAAGTGATGAGGCCGAGCAGAGAAGAGGAGAACGGACACACGGTGACCTGATCAGATCTGAGAATATTAATCTGACTTTTGAAAGTCAACAACATCTAAATATTCATTCTTTCACTGATATTTTTAACTTCTACGACTTCATCTGCTCCAGCTGCCGTTCACGTGGCCCACACGGGAAACAGAAGACTGTTATTATAGCTGCCTTTACGTGGAGACGTCAGCCTCAGCCTCAGCAGCAGCAGCTGCAGCAGCAGCCTCAGCCTCAGCCTCAGCAGCAGCAGCCTCAGCACCAGCAGCAGCAGCAGCAGCTGCAGCAGCAGCAGCCTCAGCACCAGCAGCAGCAGCAGCAGCTGCAGCTGCAGCAGCAGCAGCCTCAGCCTCAGCAGCAGCAGCTGCAGCTGCAGCAGCAGCAGCCTCAGCACCAGCAGCAGCAGCAGCAGGACTACAGCAGAGTAAGAGAAGCTTGTTGTTAGAGAAGACAGGGAATGCCTCAGAGTCACGTCCTTGACTCCACCTGTGATTACAGGATGGATTTTAACTGCTGACTCCACCTGCTCTGACATCTCACGTCAGACGTGGACTTTGACCTTGGCATCACTTACATGTAAAGCAGAGCAGCATCAGCAAAATGCTGAGTGAAGTATCTCACTATTCATCTCCAGCTGAGGAGCAGAGGAGCAGAGGGATGGAGGAGGAGGAGGAGGAGGAGGAGGAGGAGACGGTGGAGTTCGGGGGCTTCTCGTAGATCAGAGGGTCAGAGGAAAGTGTGGGGGAGGAGCTGGGAGGATATTTTCTCACACACTGATGTTAGATGTGGATCAGTGAACGTGCACGTCATACATAATGTAAGGTTTCCAGTTTTAGTCTACTCTGCAGATCCTGAGACACAAGAACCAGCACTGCCACAGTGGTGTGTGTGTGTGTGAGTGTGTGTGTGTGTGTGGCATCCGTGTTCATATCATTGAAACAAGCCCAGCAGTGGTTGATGAAGACAAACAGCTCTACACTACAAACAGCAGCAGATTCTGGAGAAACAGCTGCATTTTTAATGGCAGCTCTCTCCCTGCTCCTCGTCCACAGATTCATTTACTCAGGATAAAGTCATCGCTGCACAGTGGGAATCACATTCTTATTTCATTTGGTTGTTTTGATGTAGTTCTTTCCGCACTGGTGCGGAATCCACGGAGTGAAGGATCTCCACGGGAAACTAATTCACAGTCAGGTTTCCTCTCATTTTCCTCTTTCCGTCTCTCGCCCTCTTCTTCCTCCTCCTCCTCTTCTTCCTCCTCCCCGTTGTTGCGGCTCACTGTCTGTTCTCCTGAAGTGGAAAATCTCAAGTAATTGGTTTCGGAATTAAAGAAAGAGAGCAGTGATGGAAACAGGTTGTCCTTCATTACTCTCGTCCTCTCTGAAGGAGATCAGGACGGCGTTGGGAATTGGGGAACTCTGGACGATTAGCGATCTTTTTCACTCCATGTTTTCATTATTTATAGCAGCAAATCAGAGGTGCAGCAAATGAATTCATAAAACAGCACTTTCCAAAACTGAATCAATCCATGAGCTCAATAATGGTAATTAAATTGGTAAAGGCTGTGTGTCTTGATACGGTGGAGGTTCGAGACCCCTGGGTGGTCCGTGGAAGTACACGTGTGTGTGTGTGGGGGGGGGGTGTGTGTGTAGATTAGACAAGTTACACAGAAACTTTAATAAAAAAAACAGAGAAACATCAGAAGAATTAGAGACATCAGATACATCAGGTTTCTGAAACATCAGAGAAACGGGGGACATCACAGACATCACAGACATCACAGACATCAGCTTTCTCAGTGTACACGTGTTTGCAGGCAGCCGTGTAATACGTCCACGTCCCTGCTCTGGGCTCTGGGCTGATAACCTCTGAGTTTGTTTACAGAAGGTTAATCCAGACCATGACCAGGCCACACTTTCTCAGAGAGCTGCGTCTGCGTCCTCTCACTCCGCAGGGATTTGACGTCCGTCTCTCTCAGGACTGACCCTCCTTCACAGCAGCACAGAACAATGAAATTCTGCTTTTCCTTCTTCTAAACCAAAGGTCATCAACTGTATCTGTCAGAAGGCCTTGGAGGTCTGACACCCCAAATAAAATGAAATGAAAACTACATTTCTGTCATAAATGAGGATTGGTGATGGTTATTTAAGTCTCATTTGTTGTTGTTGTTTTTTCAGTTGCTTTAATAGTTAAGACCACACAATATTTTCTCTCTGATCCTCACAATTTTGGAATCCAGTTGTGGGCCGGCTTTGATGGTTTGGTGAGCCAGAGTCGGCCCGTGGGCCACCAGTTGAAGGTCCCTGTTCTAAACCTTTCCATCCTGACAGAACGGTGTTGTCCAACCATCTGACCTCATCCCTTTGGTCATCAGCAGACCTGTAGGAAAACAAGAGTGCAGCCTCGACACAGTGCCTTATCAGTAAAAGAGTGTCCACAACCTCAGAGAGAGAGAGAGAGAGGGTGAGGGAGGGGGAGAGAGAGAGAGAGAGAGCCCCATCAATCACTCTGTCACTGATAAAGAGTGAGAACAGCCGCAGACGAGAGGCTGGAGATGAACAAAGTGTTTCTGACTCAGAGAAAACACTGTAAACAGTCAGAGCTTTAACAAGGAGACCGAGGCTCTGAACAAACACGCTGTAAGTTTATGAATGAGTGTGTGTGTGTGTGTGTGTGTGTGCTTCAGGGTCACCTCTTTTCCTAATTCTTTCACAACTAAATCCAGGCGGAAAAGAAAACTCTGTTTCTACTTCTCCTCCTCCTCAGGGACAGGAGCTCCTCGTAGATCAGAGCTGTGTGTAATAAGTGTCTGACCTGTTTTGTTAACAGCAGACATGTGGGAATTCTGTCCAATCCATCAATGGAATAGTCTGGGGAAGAATTCCAAACAGAGCTAATGAGTTTTCAGAGAGAATGTAAACCAGCTGAGAGCTGGACTCAGCTGCTGCATCAGGAAACTTGGTTTTTATTAAAGCTGATTTTATTTAGCTCCTGACAAGCATCAAGGCTACAGATTTTTTTTTTTTTTTTTTTTTTTTTTTTTTGCATGAAGTTACATTTAAAAAGTACTTTCTAGTACTTCATACACGTAATCCTTGATCCGTAATTTAGACATACAGTACTTACTCTGAGCAGCTGGGAACTCAAGTCTTTGTAGTTTTAACATTTACTGCAAGTCAATGAAGAGGTCAAGTCCCTCTCATCAAGTCACGAGTCCAGACCTAGTCCCTTTAGTCTGGATCATTTTCCTGTGGCGTCCACAGAGTTCTAACAAACCGACAGACTTGAAGTAATTGGAAGTCATATTTTTTTTCATTTCGTATTAGTATACGGTGTAGATTTGACACTTTCTCTGGGTTAGCATGACTTTGTATGTAGAAGAAAATACAAGAGCTGAGACCATGGACTGATGGACAACTGCAGTCACACGTCAAGCAAAAAGAAGACAGACCTCCACAGAGCCTCGACAGTTGGTTGGTGTCTTCAGTTTGTATCAAGATTTTGTTTTTCTTAAGTGATTCATATTTGTCACAAAAAAAGTCTATGTTTGAATAAGTCATTACTATGACATAATCCATGTGAATAATTCTGAGGCTTCAGGCTGAGCGAGGCTGATTCATGCTGGTGAAACCTCATTAGCATGAAGCAGCAGCAGCAGCAGCAGCAGCAGGAGCAGGAGGAGCAGAAGCA